CAGGACTTTCCAGATCCAAGTGGGTCACCTGGAGCCCGAAGAAATCTCCCTGAAAGGAGAGGGGAGCTTTCCCAGCACCTACTTGGACCTGCCCAGGAACATCAAAGGTGAGCACGGGCTGTCTGCTTCCCAGGAGGGTCCCCTGTTTCTCCCCCATGTCACATGCCTGCAGGGCAGCTCACACCTGCCTCCAGCAAGCCTGGAGGTTTCAGGGCTGTCAGACCAACACTCAACCCCCCGGTTGCTTCCTGCAGCTCTGGCAGATGAGCCCGTGTGGGCTTTGCCCCAGGAACCATCCTGCAGAGCTTGCCAGCATGTCGGGGTCCTGGGAAGGTGATGGCTAGACAGAAATCTCTGGAAAGCTGAGCACAGGCTGGCAGGGATTTTGGCAGGGTTGGATTTGCATCACATTGCAGGGGATGAGGTGCTCCTATGTGGGGAGGCAGATGGGTGGGAATGAACATCAGGGTTGATAGAGGAGAAGCAGCATCTACTTTGCATACATTGCTTGAGGAGGGTGTTTCTGGGAGAGGCCAGAGTCGGGGGAGTGGGGCTTTCCAGCTTCAATGGGAATGGCGCTGTGCCACGCTTCATTTGTGGATGTTTTCTTCCTTCAGGAAATGAAAAATATGAGAAGGTCCTCAAGGAGGTGATAGAAAAGATGGAAGAAGACGGCCGGGGAGAGGAAGCAGCAGTTCTGAGGGCGGCTGTGGCCGCGGAGCCACCCCCAGATCCCTTGGAGGCCGTGGTGAGAATGGCTGCTGCCCCGTTTGCCGCGTGCCACCCTGCCCCGGTGTCACTGGGTCCCTTGCAGCCCGCAGCAGGCTTCCCGGGGCCCTGCTGGCACTTGGGACTTCCCTGCCTACACCTGCCCATGATCCTGCCCAGCTCAGCAGTGCCCCCGGGGCTGCCCCAGGGAGAGATCCTGAAGACCCTGCTCAAGTGATGAAATTTATGGTACTTCGTGCTGGAGATGTAGAACACCACTGGGGTATTTGCTGCTCACAACCCAAGCCCTGCCAGGTGTACAGAGCTTAATAGCAGCAGCCTGACTGTGCTCTGGGACTGTGCTGCCAGTGCTGATCTCTAAGAGACAGCAGCTTTATCGTGGCTCCCTTTCCAAGAGAGCTCTTGTCCGAGCTGCTTTGGCACTGGCTGGGGGCAGACAAAGACTTGGAGCTCTGGAAGGTTCCTGGCTTGTCTGTCTGTCTGGCCAGATCAGCTTTTGTTAACAGTGACTGGGCAGGCAAAGTTGCTGGAGTTCATTGCCCTTGAGATGAGGCCCTGACTGAGAGAGCAGGAGGTGTCACAGACACTGAGCAGCGAGACAGAGGGACCCCATCACCCCTCTCAACACGAGCAGGGGGGAGCCTTGGGAAGGACCGTTGCTAACCAGCCGCTGCCTTTCCTTCCCTCAGCTGGACCCTGGGCTGCAGATGCAGAAGAACACGCCCTGGAGCAGCAGAAAGCCTTCACCTCTGGTCCCCCAGAGGCCACTGCCTTTGACCAGCACGCTCGTCGGAGGCTTCTCAGGTTAGTAGGGGCTCCCGTACCCTGTCTCCAGGTGCCCCGAGGGTAGCACCCAGCAGTGCACCCCTGCTCCTGAGAGCTGCTTGTGTCTGCAGAGCTGGGGGTAGTGGGGACTTCAGGAAGGGTCTGATCCTGGCAGCTTTGCCATGCTCCCTGTGGGCAGCTGAGTGTCCTCACTGCCACAGAGCCACCCTGAGCTTTGGAGGTGCTCAGCTCCCCACAGGCGCTGGGTCCTGCTCTTAGGGCTGAGGGAGGCCAGTGCAGAGCACCAGGCCCTTCCAGAGAGCACCACCACCATCCCTGCTGAGCAGCTCTGAAAGAGGCAACTCAAAGCTGGCATCTTTGTTCCGGCTAACAGACCACGCTGCGCAAGAAGAGTAGGGAACCGCAGAGGCTGACACACCCTTGCCAAATCAGGTGGCTCGGATGCTGGTGGGACTGCAGGGCTTACCTCGGTAACTTCCCTCTGCTCCTCCATGAGGAGGCACGGGCACGGGAGGCTCCAGTTCAGGAAGATGCTCTGCAAAACAGATCACGTATGTGCTTTCCCGAGTGAGATTGCTCTGGGAAAGGCCCCTCCCATGAATCTTGCAGGTGTTGGTTACCGCGTTTGTCGGTGCTGCTTTGGGGACAGATGTGGTTGCAGAGCAGTGAAGATTTCCTGTGCAGGCGAATCTTACGACAAGGTCCTGAAGCACTTTCAGGCTGGGGCTGTACACGGGGCTTAGCAGTTTCATTGAGACCAGTGGAGATCCACTGGACTTCACCTACAGTGGCTTTCCATAGCAGAGGAGCTGTGACCAGTATTCTTTCTAAACTAGTTTTATTTTAAGGCCCCACTGGTAGCTGATAGAACCTAGGTCCTATGCTCCTCGTGACTTAGCCAAGTCTTATTACCAGGTGGTCAGGCCTTGGATTTCATGGTCTTGAGTTGAGTTTTTACAGCAGTGAATCCAGAAATATTTTATTTGCATCTTTCATGCTCTTGGAAATGTGGCCAGGCTGTGGTTTAAGGACTGTCCTTACTCCTCCTTTCAGAGCTGAGCTGCCCGAGAACCTCCTGGACTTTGGGTACGTGATTCTTGGTAACACCGCCACGCACGTCGTGAGGATCACCGACACCGGGCAGTTCCCTGTGTCCTTCCGCACTGACAGACGGGTCCTGCGTGACACAGGTAACCAGTGCTGGCGAGCCTTCACGTGGGCTCGAAGGAGCTGTCTGTGAGAGATGAGCTTAAGCCGCTGGACACGGGGAGGTTTTCTGAGTGCTTGTATGTATAACTACTTCCTCCTTGGGACCCGCTGCCTGGTGCTTTAGAGCCTGAGTTCTCCTGGCCGGCAGCGCTGAGACCCGGCCTTCTCGGTCCCGCCGTAACGCTTCCCTGCCGGGGCTGGGGGGGCTGATCACCTTGGTCACCTCCCAGCATCTTCTGCTCTTGGCTACCATGAGCATCATCTGATGGGCACTCCAGGGGCTTGTGTTGCAAACAGATGGACCCTCTGTGGTTTGGAAGTGCTTTGTTTAAAGTTCATGAGGCCATAGCACTTGTGTTCAGCCTTTATTGAGAAGACAGCCTGTGAGGTCCTCTGTTGTCTCAAATAGGCTGGGTCATCTTGTTTGACTCTAATATGAAATCTAGTACTTGGTGAACTCTGTAAGGTAGCTCTGCTTTAGAACGAGTCGCCAGAGAGACAGTGTGGTGACAGCGGCTCCGTGTGGCCGAGCCCTTTGGGAGCTCATTCCTGCTGTAGTTCGGTGGGTGGTTAAAGTGCTGCAGAGGCTCCAACAAGGGAAAGGCCTCCCAGGTTCTGCAGCACAGTTCACGCCATTTTCTGCAGTGGGATATTCACATCAGCAAGACTTTATTAAAACCCTTGTCATTTGATCCAAAGAGAACAGAAAGCCAACCTCCATTTTTTCGGGAAAAGGATGTGTGGTCACTGTATTACCAATTGAGCACAGTCTTCTAAAACCAGACTCTGTTGTGGATTTAGTTTTAAGTTGATCTCTACTCAGTAAAATATTTAAACATGGTAGATTTTTGCTGCAAACTATGGCTTAGGTGAGACTTTTTCGTAGCTGCTGTCGGTTCTGAGACAGCAGAGATGTGAAGGAAAGCGGGGCGGTTTATGTCTGCCAGCTCCCTGACTGTCACACCGCCCGCGGGGTCCCTTGGCTGCCTCCTGCGGGTCCAGGGTCTGAGGAGTGCCGGGGATTTGGGTGTTCAGATCATCTTGTGTGGCAGGAAGGAGTACTGAGTGTGTATTTTAGCTTTACCACTTACCTGGAGTGAAACAAGGAAACTTCTCTTTTTTTTTGCTTGTTTGGGTTCATTTGAAGGAATAATGTAGTTCTATAGTGAATCAAAGGCAATTTTTTTTCACCCATTCCCTGAAGCCCTAGTTAGAGGCAAATAATACTGGTTTTATCTGAAGTGAGAACATGTGTACATTGTGAGTGGTACTGGTACAACAGTGTTGATTTCAACTATTTCACGTGTTCTGATTTCTGCTGTCATTTAGCTTGTGCCTTAAGTGCTTATGGAGCAGCCTTTTATTTATTTATTTTTTAAAAAGGGCACTGCTGTACTCTGGGAGATGAAGCATTGCAAGTATTAAGTGGTTGTGGCTGTAGTGTCGGAGGATTAAAGCCCAGAGCTCACTTTCCCTGTACAGACCCAGCGGTTCCTTGTCCTGGTCAGTGGTGCCGTGGAAGAGGCTGATAACGGCAACGTCTCCCTTCACAGCCTGCCCTGAGATCCTGCTGGTGGCCAGGCTGCAGCATCGGGCTTCCAGTCTCTTGATGCGAGTCCTTGTGTTTAAAACCCCTCAGGGAAGAAGTGTGCCTGTGAATGCTGCCGGGAAGAGTTAATTTGTTCAGTTTTGAAATTAGGGCAATTCTTCTAATTGTGCTATTTCCAAGAGCTGTTCTGTTGTTGGTTTACCTTTCATCTACGGGAGGTTCTGCTTTTGAGAGGCAAAAAAGTTCTCTAGGATTTAACTGACTCTAGGTCAGTTCTTGTAACACCGATTTCCGATCAGGTGTAATAGGGAGGTGGCCAAAGGTAATACCAGCAGTGGTGACTCTGGAAGTCTTGGAGTAAACAAAGGCCTTGTTCACGTTTTTTAATATTTGATTAAAGATAAGCGTGTCGATGATCCCAATGCAAATCCCCTGAACGAACATCTCTAAATCACGTGCATCGCTTTTACAGTGGTATCAAGAGCTTTCCCAGATTTTTGCATAAGACAATCATGCAACACCAGGAAAACTAGTATCACGTGCTATAGACAGAATTTTACTTGTCATGTTTTGTTTCATTATTAATGCTACTAATGATAATAGTCATTTTCTTAACCCTTATTCCAAGAGCTCGGAGATTGGTTCTGCAACAGTTCCCTCCCCGTACAATTTTAACTTCTCTTATCTGTATCTTCTTAGTTACTAATTGCTCTGTAAAAGGCAATAATTAGAAAAAGTGAAAACTATTTTCCTTCTCTAACAATTAAGGATGTGATGGTTTGACCTTGGCTAAATGCCAGGTATCCACCAAGTCGCTCTATCCCTGCCACCCCTCCCTTCCCCTTGTTTTCTCAACAGGGAAAAGAGGGGAAAGAAAATAAGGTAGACCAACTCTTGTGGGTAAAACCAAAGCACATTTAATATAAGCAAAGCGAAGCAAAGGTCCGCGCGTGGAAGCAGAAGAAACCAGATTGATTCTCTACTTGCTGCCGAGAGGCGCTGTGGGGCCTTCTCAGGATCAGGGCTCCCATACGTCTAGTGATTGCCTCGGAGTTCCAAGGATGACCCCCACCCTTCCTCCTTTCTCCCAGCTTTATACTGAGCAGACGTCACAGGGTCTGGAATGTCCCTTGGGTCAGTTTGGGTCAGCTGTCCTGGCTGTGTCCCCTCCCAAGATCTTGCCCAGCCCATCCCACTGGGGAAAATATCAGAAAGAGCCTTGGTGCTGTGTAAGCACTGCTCAGCAGTAGCCACCACACCAGGGTGCTGCCAACACCCTGCAGCTCCCAGCATAAACCACAGCACCGTGAGGGCTGCTGTAGGGGAAAACCAATTCCAGTTCAGGCAGACCCAGTACAGTCTCCACCCCTTATTCCATACCATTTACGTTATGCCCAGGTCCCACATAATGTTCATTTATCCATTCCATAAGCTTTCTTCACTCTTCAGATGTTCAGTG